AGTGCCCTAAGCTACGTCCTTTATTCAGAAAAGAAAATGAAGATAAGGAGAGACCTAGGAAAACAATTTCCCTGGGCTACAGTCCTGTGGAAAAATGGTAGCGAGGGCGAAACATGCATACAGAGAGAAATCCATTTATCGGATTCTCCCAGTTCAAACTGGCACAGCTCTCACCAGAAAAATTAAAGGAAATTCCCTTTCTGTCTAGACACCATGAATACAAGGACTCAGAGTCTAGTACTTTTCCTCTCAATCTCTGGGTCTGCAGTCCTTCCCTGGCACACATATATCTCAAAATATTCCTACAGGGGACACTTTTAACCCCAAAGCTCTGCCTATTCCATCCGAGTGTTACGTTCTCCACGCGAATATCATGTGCTCGTCATTCCTAGTGGGAGTCCTTCACAGGACAAGCTCAAGGTTGCGGAAGTGAAGCTGCGGGATAAAAATCCTTTTCGCTGACAAAAAGGATGCCGCGGTATTGCGTGTGTCCTCCGTGAGTTTTACCATGCACAACCGGAGTACGGAAACGTGCAACCCGGCACCGCATCCCCCCCTGCCTCCCCGTGGTTTCTTAGGTAACGCTCGCCCTTCCAACCACAGTCAGCAGCATCCTGCGGTACGAAACCCTGCGAGCGGTCGTGCACAGCCCCAGGCTTTCCGCTGTGCTGCGTGTGGAAAGCCACAGCTGGAGAAACGTCACATCTGGAGAAATGTCCCCAGGGTGCTCGGGCTTCCAGCAGTGCCAGCACCGCTCCCTGCTCCTACAAGGGTCATGAGTGTCCCCCACTCTGCAGCACATGGGCAAGCAATTACTGGCGCTCGATACCAAGAGGATCAGCAATAGCCACTGGGTCTGAAGCATCAGTAAGGAAAATGCTGAGATTTTGCTCACGAAGGTCTTGAAAGAGGCACCACTGGGGCTTGGCTGTGTAACATCCCGGGGCAGCCTGGCTGCTGCTGCAAAGCTCCACACCTACGACTAAAAACCAGCAGTTGCAACGTGCTTTTCTCCTCCTCTTTTCTCTCTTATGGGAAACCTTGCCGGATCAGGGCATCGTGTTCTGAAGGGAGAGGACAGGAATATAAATCCACGGTTTACATTTCCTCCCAAAGAGAGGGGAAGCTCAGGCTTTTGTGTATCCTCTAGGACTGAATTCAACATCTCTTGCAAACACTCTCTGCGCGTCCCACATGCTCCTGCCGGCGCTGTTCAGCTGACATTGTCACAGCCAGGATGAGCCACAGCTGGACCAGGGAGGGCTGGGGACAGAAGAGCCACCGATGGCAGCAGTTCCCTTTGGTTGCCAGTGGCTACTCCAGTATATAATAGCATTAAGGGGGGATGAGGGGAAGTTTGGTGTTCCTAGGTGGGAAAACACTCTCTATTTGTACCGTACCTTTCATCTGAGAATGGCAAACACTTCACATCTATCCAGAACACATCGTATTCTCACACAAAAGAATATTAGTAGCAGGATCTGATAATCATATGAAGCACAGGACAGATAAAGAAATCACCCCGGCAGGGAGATGTAACGCCCCATTCAATCGCCTTCAGCATCCTGCTTCTGCTCCCTTCTTTGGGTGGCACGAGCCTCGGTCTAACCCGGTCCAACACAAACTGGAACCCTATCCGAACAAAACCAAAATTCAGCTTTGAAAAACCCCGGTACTCGTTGCTTTTGCGTTATTTTCATCTTCTTCTCCAGCCAAGCTGGATGCAGCAGTGTCGGCACACCAAGAGGGTGGCTCCTCTCGCAGCCGTTCTGGGCTGCGTGCGGCAGGGGCTGCAGAGGCGTGTGGAAACGGGCAAGAACACAAAAGCAAATCAACCTTAAAAAACGATTTCATAAACTTTTCACGCCTCTCAGACGCCAGCCTCGTCTTTTAAATTTAAAACTCTGGACTCAGGGAGAAATCACCTCCCCACTACCCGCGAGCAGGAGAGCGTGGTCCAGCTTTGGCTGCCCTCAAGACAGCACTGCATTCTCTTGCACATCCCATTCAGTTTTACAGCTAAAATATATTTTTCCTTTCTTTCTTTTCCTCCTGATGCCATCAGAATACTAATTCAGAGAAAGACAAATGCTCTAGGACGAAGACATACACATACCAGACTATCTCAGGTGCTTTCCGGAGCCCCACGGGCCAAGGATTGCTCCATCCCGGCCCACACAAAGGTGGCCACGTTGCCATACTCACTAGCCCCCTTCAGTGTCAACAGACCCCAAAGCACGCAGCGGTTCCTTCACAGCAGCTCGGTTTAATGGCAGAAACCACTGGAATAAGCCACCTTTCTGATCCGTAATGCAGAGCTGTGATTTTACATTTTGTCTTGCCGTCCCTTCCGTCAGACGTCTCTCGATTCGCGGCAGCGGGTGATGGAAACACTGAACCACCGAGACAGGGGAAACGTGGAAGATGCAACGTTACTGACCCGCTATTCCAGGACACCGGGGGCGTCCCGGGAGATTATATCGCTGGAGGGCAACACAGGCTGGCTCACGGGTAGCTTTAGGTCCCCAGAAGCTTGTGAACAGCCCCAGAATTATTTTCCAGGAAGCGAGCGAAGAGCAGAGCGCAGGGGAACAGGCTCTGAGCAGATACAGCTTCAGGGCAACACGATTTTCTTGAAACAACCTCAAATCACCTCAGGGGAGATGGTCTCAGCCAGTGCTTGTGACCTCGTAGGTGCTGCCATGGCATGAAGGACATCTGGGAGTGCAAAATTGCCTCTAAACGCTTCCCACCCTGCACTGGGAGCCAGAATCCCACAACCTCCCCTGCCCCTCGTGCTGGAAACGCTGAGCGGAGCACCAGGAACTTGCCCCGAAAAACCCAGCGAGGCAGGAGCTCCCAGCTCAGCCCTGCAGAGCTGTCAAACCCAAGGAAACATTCCAAAAAAAGAGGCCTAAGAAAAGGGATCCTGCAGAAATTTGGCCCGGTGGCGTTACTGGAAATCTATTTGACGTAGTGAACCAAGATGGAAACTTTTCCAGGAAACGTGTTTCTTTATTTAAATAAAAATTAGTGCCAGTAGAAACAATTAAACTTAAATACGTGAGACAATTATATACAACTCAATGTTAGGAATTATATACATCAGGGTTTGGGGTTTTTTTTGTACAAATACATTTATACCAAAACGTACAAGGACGAAGGAGAAAGCAGTGGAAAATGTGACAACTCGCGCATGTCAGTCTCATTTGGAAAGTTTCAGGATTCAAGTGATTCCAGGCAAAACGCCAAAACTTAATTTGGCTCCTTTCAAAAAAAAAAAAAAAAAAGCGGCCCCTTTTTGGAGAAACCTACCCCCAAAAAAAAAACCACAAAAAAAGTCTGACCCGAAGTTCACCGAACCCAACAGGGGAAAAAAATAAAAAAAAAACAACCCACAACTCCCATTGCCTTCGGGCTGGTCGGAGCACAAGGGAGCCTTTGTTCCGCTGCGGCGTCTTCACCCGCCGAGCCCAGTCCTCCTCCGCTGCTCCACGTTCCCGTTTTTTTTCCCCGAGTTGCCTCTGCAGCCCCAACGCCGGCAGATAAATAAATCATCTCGTAGTGCAGGAAGCGCGCGGAGGCTTTTTTTTTTTTTTCCTTTTCCCTTTGCAAACGTTTTCTCGCTGCGCAACGCTTTTAGATTCCGGCTCTTCAGCCCTCATGCTCCAGAACTAATGCAAACGTTGTAATAAGTTATTATAAAATAATAAGGTACGATTGAAACGTTCCTTCTTCTGGCTTAAACTCGTTCTTCTAACAGTGCAATGATTTAGTAACTAATTCCATAAGCATTTGAAAAGAATCACAGTACTATTAAATTAGGGGCGGGGAAAGCTTGTGGGGGTTTTTAAAACTAAGGCTTTGATAGGAATGCATGTGTCACATGCGGGGCGATACAAAATAAAATAATAAAATTAATGCAACGTTTACCTACGCTGGCTTAAATAGAGCAGGAAGCCTAGGTGCTTTACCGATGGCAAGGGGTGCAGCTGTACTGACCTCAAACGGAGGATTTGAGTCCGACAAAGGAGCACAAAATCTTGCGCACGTCCCCCCCAAGTCAGGGCTCGGCTGACGACTTGAGCAGGGCCAGGATTTCACCTTTGCTACGTTAAATTCTCTTTGGAATTCCACCTATTTTTCGAGGGGGCGTAACAGAGCAGCACTTGTTCAAGCCTGTCCACGTCTTACAAAGATCTTTTAAGGTCTTCTTTAACTTGCAGATCTTTGCCTTTAGTGGTCAGATGTACCTATCTTTAAAAAAAAAAAAACACCACAGAGAAAAAAAACCCAAACAACCCCTTTTCTTGGTAGTAACTCAGTCAATGGCTGGATTGCAGCAGACGTTGGTGAACCTGACCCGGCCAGCAGAGGTACGACTAAAGCAAAGACAGATACAGTGGCAAGGATCGGAAACTGGGCTTCACAAACCTCCTAGAAAGTCAGTGCACCTTTTTTTTTTTTTCTTTCTTTCATTATTTCTGTGCCTAAAGCCAGTCTCTAGGGACGCTGCAATCTCCCTTCGACAACAGCATCCACACATTTTCAGCTTCTGAGGCCTCATTAGAGCAAACCTGCTGTTGGCTGTGGTTTGTTGTAAGAAAAACACAGGAAAAGGGCTTCTAGTTTATCAGGTTTGTGTGAGCCCATCGTTTCCAGCAACCAGGCGTTAGGACACCTTCCCTAAACACTTCCCAGGCACTCGCAGAATTCTGAAATATGCAGAAACAGGCCAGCAGTAGTTACCTCGTTAGAAAACATATATATATATATTCTCCTTGTTCTTAGCTCTTATGATAAGAATTAATAATGACGAAATTAAAATCAAGCATCCCAATTACGTGCAAGTCACACTTTGGAGTCGGGTACCACTGCTCGCTCATCCTGCAAGCTCTCGGGAACAGCTCAGTGGGCCCAGGGGGCACAAATACCTGTAGAGAGTTTGTCGGAGAGCAGGGAAGTAGAACCACAAGTCCTCTGCGGGAGCCCTGCGAGTGCTAGGAGTTCTTGTGGATGTTCTCCGCCGAGCCCTCGCTGCTCTCGTTGAGGAGAGTTTCGGATGCTTCGCCCAGCTCGGCGTCCAGCACCTCCTCCTGGATGGTGAAGTGAATGTCCGGGGAGGAGGATTCGGAGCTCACGCTGCTGCCTTCCATGGAGCAGATGGCACAGGAGAGGGAGGGCACCATGCTCTCCTGCAGCATGTTCAGCATCACGGGGATCTGCACAGACCGCAGCCCCGACACCGTCGGCAGCGGCTTCACGGCTTCCCCCCATTCTCTCTCCTCGTCTTTGTAGAGCAGCAGCAGGTTGGACTTCTTCTCTTTCCGCTTGGATTTCATGTAGCCCAGCATGATCCCTACGAGGAAGATCCCGTAGAAAGACATGACGATCAGGATGTAAAGATACTCGTTGCCGTTGCTCTTCTCCGCGCTGCGGGACTCAGCATCCAGCATGGCTTGGGTCACGTTCGCGTGGTCCATCTTGGGCATGGAAAGCGGGGTTCACCACAGCTAAAGCCTGGAGGGGAACACGCATGCAGATATAAGATGTAAAAGAAACATCTGAAAACAAGCAAACAAGTAAAAAAAAGATACACCCCCCACCACCGATTCCTTGCCACTTGTGATTTGCAAGCCTGCAGACACCCGCACCTGGCGGAGGCTGGCAGCCCGTCACACCCCTGCATCAGTGCTGTGAGTGAGCGAGCCGCTATTCAGATACAGGAAAACATGAAAAGGAGGGAAAATGTGTCAGATTAAATCATGTTGAGTTCTACCCTGGACCACAAATCCCCCAATCCACACGATTAAAGAAAGAAAACGAGACAGAAATAACTCTGCCAGGCACAGTTTTGTGCTACGAGACCACATCTGCACAGGGGAGAAAAAAAGCAAGAACTATTATTTTACTTGACAATGCGGGAAAAATAAATTGAAAAGCAACTTACGCTGGTATGCAAATAATTCCTCCTTTCGCAAAGCTCAAGAGACCTTTCCTCCACCAAATGCCGGGTGTTCTGAAAACTTTCCTCCGCTGCAGTTGGAATAAATAGCTCTCAAGAAATGTTTCATCACGTGTTTTAGAGGCACAGTTTATAATAGTTTTGTGTTGGAGTCAACAGATGAACTTGAAGGATTGCAGTTCAACCCACTGAACTCTTAACAGCTGTGAAAAGAAAAAGAGTTGGGAATTCAGATTTTACTCTTTCCTAACCAGTTCAGCACCGGCTCTTGCAGCCTGCGGCTCCGTCCCCTTCGTCGCTGTCGCAGTTGCTAAATCTGAGCCGGCAGGAAACCCTGCGGACCATTACCCTGTGTTTGCCACAAAATACAGAAAAATACACACGTGAATCTCATTGTGAGACACACTCGAGTTAGTTACGTGCTTATTAGACAGATTTTTTTTTTTACCCTGAAGAGAGGCTGAGCAGGATGCATCCCAGGATGAGGATAGGGGCTGGGTCGCCGAGTTCCCAGTCGTCGGCTCAGCGGTACCGGAGGCCGCGAGACCCCTTTTTCCCCGACGTGAGCGACAGCCCAGGCCATGGGAAGAAGGAGGCCCAGCTTGCACCTTGGGGATTTCACTTCCTCGTCCTCTCCATCCCCGTTTTTTGCAGACAATTAGTCAGGCCCGGCGTGCGAATGTCACTCCCTCCTGCAAAGCTTCAAGGATGTTTACGGAACGGGAGGCTCCGCTTCCAGAAAGCGGCCGACCGGTGCCAGAGTTTCCCCAACGGTAGAGCTGGGGTTTTTTTTTACCCCTGGCAGTCGCTGGCGGGTTCTTCACGTGCTTTTCCCAGCTCTGAGCTAAAAGGCAGAGAGGACGAACTTCTCCTCACGTGTAGGAAGAGGGAAGAGAGGAGTTAAGCAGCTTTAGATGAAGCAAAGAATGCAGGAGAAATCAGGCTTGTAACTGAGACTGGAACCAGCGTTTTCCATCATTTTCACAAAGAAAGAAAAAAAACCAACACATTAACCTGATACCCTCCTTTGGCCCTTGAAAGAAAGAATCCACCCTTTAGGATGTTGGTTTTATCTCCTGGCGCATTCCCATGCGATAGCTCAGGACCTGCTGCTGTTGGACTAACGTCTACTGGGATTCCATCTGACAAGATGTGTCCGCAGCACTGGCTTCCCAAGTCCGATTCCTTCGTCTTCCCGAGGAATGACGGAGCAGGCAGCGCGAGCCAGTAGGCTCAAGCATAACCTGGAGCAAGCCTTCAGGTTTTCTATCTCACTTTGGGGAATTTGTATTCCACGCCTTTCTCAGCTCCGTGTGACACTTGCCATTCAGCTCCAGAAATTTGGAATTTGAAAAATTAAAGACAACGATGTCAGGTTTTACCGACACCCTTTTATGCAGGACTTGCACGGGACGTGCTGGGTCAATGAAAACAGGCTCAGTACAAGGAGAAAAATCCTTCTCTGTGCCCATGAAATCCCTTCTCGGAGCTCCAAAGCCTCACACTCTTCCCATAGGTGCCAAGTTACCAGGAGGAACTGCAGGAGACTGGTCAGGCCCATCCATAGATTCATCCAAAGTTCAACCCAAAGATGACTGAACTGCGTAATCATGCGCGGTTGGTGCCAAAACCCCGTCGCGACTCTGCTTACTTTGGCTAGCTGACGACAACTCTTCTCCATCTGTTAGCCCACGACTCTGAAAAACAGTTTCATTTTAAAAAGGTCTGGAAGGAATCCCTGAGCCTTCTCCAGGCACAAAGAGGAGGGATGGGAAGACACTGGGGAGCAACCACCTGAAAAACATATGCCACTCTTAACTGCAGCCACGAGCCAGCTTTCTCAAGCTGCACCCTGTAAAAACTGTATTTTTGCCTAAAAGCAGGGCTGAGAAAATTGAGAATTGGAGGCTTCTAGTTGTCCGTTTCAAAATTTGTTGCAAATTTTTGGGTAAAACCATTGAGCCTGGCAAAAATACTGGCTTAATTTGAAGCAATTTATTTTCTGGAGTTAAGGTTTTTCTTTTCTGAGGTTTCTTTCTTCCTTCTATATTATTTCCACCCGCCCCCCTGGAAAAACTCCATAGAAGTTCCCCTGAAATTTCCCTTTCAGCCACTGCCTGTCACACGTTCTTCTCCACCTCCTTTGCATCAATCCCAAGGCAGGCTACAACATTTAAGAATCATCCTCACGCTTCCACCTTCCATGCTCCCAGTTTGGAAAATGCTCAGACTAATAAAGCAGAGCAAGGGCCAGGCCCTCCAACAACGAGCAGGTCACAACTTCGCAGCTGATGCCAGGGTGTTGGTTTTTATTCTCAAGGTCCTTGCCTCCTAGAGAGCCTTTTGTGGCCACCAAAAGATGCAAAAGTTGAGGCTTGAGGCACCCCGTGGGGCAGGAATTCTTCACAACGTGGCTGAAGGGTGAGCAGAATGTGAAGCCTTTCTCCAAAAAAAAACCAAACCGTGAGGACAGTCAGAAAACAGAATAAAGACAGAATCCAACACAAAACATCTCTAGAGGCTCCAAGGACTCTCTACAGGCTGCCATGGAAAATACACGCCCAAGGCTTCCTCATGGGCATCGCCCACGGGCTGACGCAGCGTTTATTTTTCCAGTTCATGAGACTAAAACTAAAGACAAGACAAGGGTCAGCTCCTCCGGCAAGCTGAGCCCGTTTGATGAGCTAAAAGTTTGTCCGCACACGGCTCGAGGTTCTGCCTCGTCTTCCATCGCTCCCCCTTATTTTTCACGCCGCAGAAACGGGTGACGCTTTCTTACACTTCCCACGAGCGATTTCTAGAAGAAAGGGGCAATTTTCTCAGCGTTGCCCCCCAACACACCGTGTTCCCAGCTGGATACCAAACGGAAGGAACGCTCTGCCCGGTCATTAACTGGGAGAAGCTCAGTAAAACCCTGCAGCTCCGCCTCGTTCCTGGTGAAAACACACAAATCTAAAGGCAGAAGATGTGTGCGCCAGCCTTCTCTCCAGCTTCAAGGTTTAGTTTGCTTTAACTCAGATTTTATTTAACCTTCGTTATTTAAACTTCAAGTTTTTCCGGCATTCCCTACAGCCAGAGCAGCAAAAAAGCTTCGGGCATTAATCAACAGTAGCAAATATGGGGTTCAGAAACACCCCGCGGCCGAGCTCACCTTCTGCCCCAGCGCTCTTGACTCCAGCAGGAGATTTCCCAAAAGCCACGGCTGCAGTATTGCAACTTCCCAACTGCAAATCGCTTTCCAACGCTGATAGGTGACAAGTGACAGAAATCCTCCGTGATATCTGTAATAACAGCTTACGCTACATTTAGCATTTACTGCAAGGCACATGTCGTGGGAGTCCTGGAGTTTCGGGATGGGCGCTTCCTTCCAACCTCGAAACTGAATGTCCGAAAGCGTTGAGTGTCTGGAAACAAATCAAGTGGAAACAGGTTGCTCCCGCGATAGCACTAACAAGAAATTACATCTGAAAAATAAAGATTTGTCAGTAGTTGATATGAGAATCTGAGCCCAAAGACATCACTCCCTCAATTCTCTTCCCTGTAGCCGAGACACGCCACAAAGTTATTTTACCAGTAAATATTTCTGTACGGTAAAACATTGCCTTACCTTTTCCCTTTGATGTGGCACCGACGATGGGAAAACGCTTTTTCATTTGGACAAGTCCTGCCTCAGACACATGTCTGGAATCCCAGAAACGTGCCCATGGAACCCAGCAGGGTTTTGGTGAGTGTGAAAAACAGAACTAGAATAGAGAGTGTTGGAAAGCGATTGAAAAAAAAAGGGAGGAAGCTCATCATGACATTCACCACGAAAGCAGTTCTACCCCTTTAGGAGCTCACAATAAAGAAACAGCAAATCTTCCACCCTCCCGAGGAGAAAAAACACAGGCAGGGTTTGCCCTCCTGCCCCAGAAATAAGGGGAGAGCAGACAGGGAAGGGGCAGGTTGTGCTCTCACAGCGGCGCCCATCCAGCCCAGCTGAAGGGAAAGCACTTGCAAGGGCGGAGGGGAACAAGCCACGTCTCCCCTCGCTGTTATGTTCCTTCCCAGTCCTGGAAAATTGGCTGGCAAAGCTCAGGAGCAGCCTCGTGCCATTTCGCGGCCACAGAGCATCCCCGGTCACTGCGACCTGGGAGGGATTTTGCGCTTTGGCACAGACACCCGGTGCTGGACCCTCTCTCCCTCGGATGGTCGAGGCCCCCGGGGGCTCTCAGCATCGCGCGCGTCCCCAACGCTCGCCGCGAGCTTCTGCTGCGAAACCTCCCCATTTACCGCAGCGAGCGTCACGCTCCGTCCGTTTCTGCTCTCGACCCTGTTGATCTGCATCTTCCCAGGACCGCAAACGCAGTTCAGATTTCATCACTGCCTTTTTCTCCCCTCCCTTCAAGCGACTAGGGCAGCACTTCGCTTTGATTTATTACATCTTGGCCTCAGTTGACTGGACTCACTTTCAGAGCACGAAACACTGGGAACAGCTATTTGTATCCTTATTCCCAAAGCCCGCTTCGGAAAACACGGCGCGAGGCA